ACTCCAGGCTCACCATGACACTGTGCTCCGTGCTGCCTATGATAGACTCCAGGCTCACCATCACCCTGTGCCCTGTGCTGCCTGTGAAAGGCAAACAAGGCATGTCTGAGCACTGGAGCGTCAGGCTGACCTCCTCTGAGATCTGGGAAAGGCTCTCCGTAACCTCACACTCTCTCTCGCAGCTTTGCAGCCCAAAGCCACAGCGATGCCACGATGCTCTAAATGTTCTGCTTCTGTCGTCACGGTTACCACCAATGTGCCGCTGGGCAGTTTGTCGTTCCACTCCTACACGGAGAACTCAGGTCTAAATGGCAACTTATTTTTCAGGCTCCCCACATTAGCATGGTACTACAGGACTGTGTTTCCTGGAACTTTCCTAGAGACACTCTACTGCCACTTTGGCAAAGGTGGACGATTCGTACATTTTCCATTACAACTTATCCTGTGTAGGGATATAGGCTAGCCTACCACAGCAAACACAGAGCACACTGTCACTGCCCAACCCCCCCGGCCGAGGACCGTGTGCAGCTCCTAGAGTGCCATGTGGGCTTCAACCCCCACTGAGTCCATGACACACCATGGGCAATATAGCAACACCTGTTCACCTAACCGCATGGATGGTTGTTGGACTGCTGGGGGCCCCCAGGAGGACCAAGAGGGCACCCATGCAGTCACAGGGGGGAAAATACTTACAAAATGTTGAGGTAGACTACTCGATATTATTTATATTATTTACATATTCATATCATCTTGTGAGCCCTAGAAAATTGAAAAATCTAAAGCTGTCAAAGGTAATCTAGTATGTAATTAAAAATGTATAAATACACTGTACAATTTTTAGTGTGTATTTCTTACTGCACTGCCTCCCTTCCCAGGTGTGTAACACCTGCATGTGTATCACTGGCGCAGTGATCAGTCATTTTGGGGCCAGGATGTAGCTTTCAGATCTTTATCTCCTCTTCCCCGTTAAAACAGCCTGCTGATTTGCTCATGGTTCTGATGTGTTTTTTTCTCTTTCTCTTTGGCTTGTCCTGACCAGGTCTCAAGCAAAGACACCTGGGATACGAGGAGGTAAGGCATCATGCTGTTCATGACGCGCTTTGACACGTCGCTGCATTCCCGAGCTCTGATACCCCAGACTGTACGAGGGACATACTGACACAGACCTGGCACTCACTGAGCGCCTGACCCAAAGCAAGCGCATAGCAGCCGCCCTAGAATGAGCTGACCCTCTTTGGACATGAGTAAGCCACTGAATTGGCTGTCGGCAGTTACTCTCTCATTACTCGGCTTTACTTCCCCCGAGCATCTTTACTCCCATTTCCTGCTATCTCCTTCATATGCGCTTTATTGTTTTTGCAGGCATGTTTAAGATAATCAGTTGCATTGATAAATTTATACATGTCATATATCTGATAATTAGGTAATACATAATAATTAAATACTGCTTAGTCTCCCCTGCCCATCAGCTATGAGAAAACAGATTAGACCAGGTTACTAATTGCTTATTACCCTCTTTTCTGATGGATGATGTAATTTTAATTTTATATTTTATTACTGTAGATTGAAAAATCACATTTCTAGTCATTCCATACAGATAAAAATGAAGACATGAAGCATGAGGGTAAGTTGGCCATTACGAGTGTCCAAAACTTAAGCCAACTTAAACCAACTTTCAATAAACTCCCAAACCTAATGAGAAAATAATCTCACACCATAGCCCTCTCAACTGAACACCAAGACCCTCTCAACTGAACACCATGACCCACTCAACTGAACACCATGACCCACTCAACTGAACACCACGGCCCTCTCTGTTGTGCATTAACCCTGGAACACAGCCATCTCTACTGAACACCACGGCCCTCTGCTGAACACTGATTCCCGCACCATGACCCTGCACTGCCTCATCCCAGATTGTTGCCACATCCTGAACACTGACTCTGATTACATGTGGTTGCTAGTCTCCTTGCTCACATGCAAAGGAGGGTGATTCTCCATGAGGCTGCACCCTTTAAAGCTGGACAGGAATAGCACAAGAAGCTCCCTACAGCTCCACCCTAAATGCCTCTCCCCTTCCCCTCTCTCCGAGAGCTTCAGCCAATGGCAGCCATTGTGCTCAGGTCCCACCGCTGGCTGTCAGACTTGGTTAGCTCTCATAGTCGGCGGTGTCAAACCACGCTAAAAAAAGTCCCATGCACACGCTATATCTGTGTGTTGTTGTGAAAAATGTCAAGAAGTAAAAGACATAAAATAAAAAAAACAGTAAAATGAAATAATGCGGTTTGGGAGAGAAGGCGCAGGCCATATAAAAGCTGGCCAAGGTTGGCGCGCATGCGGGCATCTCAGCGGGACCCTGGGCATGACCCAGCCGCTCACACGCACACGCTCTCTACCGCGGCTCGCATGCGTGACCCCGGCTCATTTTCACTTTATGCGCTTTTCTATATAAAACACAGGCTGCCCCCACAGAGCTGGCTGGGCAGTGTAGTGCGTGTGGTCGTAAACACAAACGGGGGGGGGGGAGGGAGCGCAGACGGTGCACTTCTGCACGCACGCGAGCTCGCAGAACATGCCAGCAGACACCGGCGGGTCCATGCTATCCCCGTGACCAGCTGTCACCCTCATCTTTGCGGACAGGACTGAAGGCAACGTGAAGCGTTATGAAGCAGAATACAATGGAAACAGTAAACATGTAAATGTTAAGTCTTTTCATACATAAAGCATGAATTCACTGAGCCATCTTGAAACTGTGGTGTCCATGAAGATTTTAAAGTTTCCATATTACAGTTTTACACCACTATATATGGTTAAATTTATCAGAAGCGGCAAAGTTTCAAGCAGATCCAAAACCGTAGCGCCTAGAAGATGTCTCTGTGCTGACATGTATCACAGTGAGGTAATACAGGAGGGAAAAAGCCATGAAGCTGGATTTTTTCCATGCAGAAAAAATTGAAACCAGGCATAGCACTGCAGACATCAAAGGAAATATATTAGCCAGACAGAATTTGTAGCTTCACATGAGGGAAAATGATTGGTAACATAAAAGGTCACAATTTCAGTCCTGCTCCATTCCTGAAGGGGGCGACGTGTGGATTATGTCTAATGAGCATCTCCTTCAGAAGCGGGCATGGTCATGAAACACAGCCTATTATGAACTTTACAGATTGGCATACTGTGGTCTAAACACATTCAAACACAATAATATCAAAAAAATATTGTAATCACATGACTCAACAATAAAAAAGGCAGTAGTCTTCGATAATTAAGCAGAGAAACACCTCTTCTCTGAATTAGCAGGCCTGCAGACAGGTCAGAGGCAGCATGTTGTATTTTTAGAACTGGGCTGCTAAAATCTGCCAGGGTGACCTGTATAGCGCGAAAGGACATGAATTCTAAGCTGTAAGATTTACCGTACGTCCTCTTATACCTCCTTTTGATGGCAGAAGCGGGTTCTGCGCTGTGGTAACGCACAGACTGCATCTAGCCCGGCACGGCAATGTTTCCTGCCTTTTTTTGCGACCTTTTCACCCTTTTTAATCCCAAGTTCTGTTTTGTCAACAAGCACGATTGTTTCCTAAGGAAAACAAATTCTCATGGATGCCAGGGACCAAAATAGCAAACACTAGCATCCGCCATGATATTGAATGCATTGCCACAGCTTAGAGACATGTGGCAAACTAAATCACAATACATGCATTAATATTCTCTGAAGAATAAGGATTAGATTACATTAAATCCATGAAACATTAACAGTAAATCCCGTTTATGATGTTATAACACAAATGTTCCTTATATACTCTTCAGCAGCTACCTTCTGATTGATAATCCTAATTAGCTTCCCAGAGCTCCCAGTAAATTGGTGCGTACAAACATGAGAAAAGTGGTAGTATGCGGGTGTGAAGAGAGCATTTTGCACACAGTGCATCTATGACTAGAAGCAGCTGCTCTCAATCCAATAGCAGAACAGCGGAGAACCAGGTTCCGCTACGACAAGGATACAAATTACATTTGTCAGTTATGGGGTCTGCAAAGGGCCAGGCAACCGGTATGAGCTATTATGAAACATCATCACAGTTACTATTAATACAGCACAAAACAAATGAAAGTTGAAATGAAATGAAAAGTATATTTAGAATATAGAATATTTTCAAATGCATCAAAGTAACTGTATTTTGTAATTTTTTGTAATGCATACTCTTTAGAGTAAAATAATAAATTAGAGATAATGGAACTTACATATAATATAAAGTGACTTAAATATAACATACCAACCCAACACTGCAAATGCAGCATGCCCACTGCAGCATGTGATCGCATGCAGTCACATGTAAGCACTCAGACAGACCTTCTCACACTGGCTTGCACGCTGCTGGAGTTTCATGACTGCAGCCTAGACAGTCTCGTCCTTTTGGTGGTGCAGTAATAAAGGCTTCCTGCATGTCCTGCCGTTTGTGCCTATAAATGCTATGAACAGACCAGACCTGCTTTCGCCTCCTGATCATTCTTCCTTCAGTCTAGCCCTAAGTCTCCACCACTTTATTTTTAATTTTTTCGTCAATGCCATTTGATGAATAGACCCCTTTGTTCCAATTAAAGGAAGCAAATATTTAAATATTTTTTCATCCCCAAATGGGTTGAGTCATGAGACCATGATTTAGGACATGTTCATACTGGTCACATGAGCTCCGGGATCTTCGCTACATTGGAAAGCAGGAGGGAGTGAGGTAGTGGAATGATGGCTCAGGGATAGAGGACATGGCGGAGGATTTGCGTTGGAGGGTCCGGCACATGGGACTGGTGTGTGTCCGGGAGAGTTGCTGTTGCTGCTGGAGAGAGACAGCAGGAGGTGACGAGGACAAGAAACAGCCGTCAGCGGACAGCCTGGGAGGGGTGTCACTGAAGCCACCCGCCGCAGAGGTAGAGAAAGCTGCATTTGTCTGGCTGGCTGCTGCTGCGTAAACGGGTGTCAGAGCTTTACACAATGACCAAACCTGGTCACTCTTTGGAAACTTAACCTAACTGCCTCATTTGGCACACTGCTTCGGACAAAAATGCCTGCTACGTAATCATGTTGAAGTTGTCTGTCGATTATACTTTTTGAAGAGCATGGCTCCATTATTGACCATTTGCGCACATACATGAGAAGGAAGTTGGGGGTCAGAGCGCAGGGACTGCTATTTAGCTGGCACACAGGGGGGGTGACGGTGGTGCTGTTAAGGACCTTCCTCAAGGGCACAACAGAGATTCACCTATTCAACCACCTAGGGGATTTGAACCAGCAATTTTCCAATCATAGGCACAGAGACCAAACCCACAAAGGCACACAGCAGCCCAGCGGGGGGTACGCTGACCTTTCAACCATGGCACTGCGCACAAAATAAACAAAGGAAGTATGGAAAAAGAAATTAATAGAATAATGGAATGGAGAGAAAGCAGGGGGCAGAGATGAGTTTATACTCTTTTGCTGCCAACGTTTATGTGCATTATTCCAAGATATGATTGACAGGAGGCACTAAGACACTGTTTCACTCCTACAAAGTCGTTTTTGGCAGGAGCCTCGATCAAATCATGTTCCCCTCCAGCCCAATAGTGCTGCCTGCTAATGAATAGACTCCATAAATCTGCAGCGTCAACAGAAACTGAGTGCAGGCAATTCCACTGAGTACAAAGTGACCCATGGATGCCAAATCATCTCCCCTTATATTAGCATGACCAGCTTTGATGCTGCTGTCAGTGTCTTCATCGCTCTTGCCTACATTCCTCCTCGCATTCTTTTCCAGCTGCAATTGTCTTTATGGTTTGTCTGCCAGCAGCTCAGTCTGTAAAGAAGGAAATGTGTAAAATGGGCCACAGTGCTTCATGGTAAATGTTGCTCTAACTGATTTTTGGATGTGGAGCTGCAGCAGTAAAATGCAGGGACACGCAAAAGCACAGAATATGTAAAGAATCCCCCTCTCGCACAAGTACACATAACGGATCACTTTAATCCAAATGAATAATATTTCGTTTCTCAATCTCACTCCAAGAAATCAAACCCCAGCTTTCTGTTGCAGTCATACGATCTGTACCATACTGTCTGTATCTCATTGGGTTCATTTCCTAAACTCCTCCCCCCAATGCTTGCCAGCTCAATGACCCAGCAGATGCTCCCTACTCTCCAGAAGCCCAGCCACACTGGTTCCACACACTGCAAGTCCGCCGCCTTCGGGTTCAAAGGTCACGAAGTAACAGTGACCCCATGGGAGGCAAAAATTTTGAAAATGAATTCCAGTGGGTGAGTGGCTTATTTGCATATTAGTGCTTTGAATTTACTCGCTTCACTATCACTGCGTGAGAGTTTCTTAAGTCTCTTCAACCCTGCAGAAAACTGGTCTCCAGTTTGGTACAGCCACGTCCTACTTGAATTTGGAGAAGCTGGGAGAGGGAAGTTATGCCACAGTGTACAAGGGAATAAGTCGGTCAGTGTCAAGAAGCCTTTGCATTCCGGTCACCTGACACATCCCTTCCACCCAGTGTGTAAAAGGGCAAGGATTGCAGTTTGGTACAGTTAACTCTGTTTGGTACAGTTAACTCTGTTTGGTACAGTTAACTCTGTTTGGTACAGTTAACTCTTACACCCAAGGGAGCCAAACTGCAAGCCCTTAATTAAAAAACCAATTAAAAATGGGTATTATCCTTAAACTTGTTCTCCCATTATTTTGCCAAGTTATTTAGGTGATGTACAGTTTTATTAAACAACTTCAGGTTCCTGAAAGTTCATACTTAATATGTGGTTTGGGAGAGAAGACAGAGCTTTTAGCCTGTAAACATTTTATAGGGGTGTTATAGGGTCATAAGGTCATGTTTACTGTTATGATGTCTAGTACATGTTTAATAGAGTACCCTTGAGCACCAGCACCCATAAGCTGCCATGGATTGGGCTTCAGCCGCAGAACCTGGTTACTTTAGCAAGAAAGTGACATGGAATATTTCAGGGCTGGAGTATTCTTTGAGTAGGCTGTTTCAGGGGGGCTGCTCAAGCCCCCTGCATGTTCCTCCATGGTAACAAACCATCACTCTTCCCCCTGTGCAGGATAAACGGCCACCTGGTGGCTTTGAAGGTCATACGCATGAAAACAGAGGAGGGGATCCCCTTCACAGCCATCCGAGAAGGTAGGAAAGCAGGCGATGAGTTACGCTGCAAAATTAATTAGCTTCAGGGCTTCTGGCTTTCATTGTTAGTAGGAGTTAATGAACTTCAGCTGTGTTTAGCTGCTTTAGCCCTTATTCTTGTGAGCTTTCCAGCCTCTCTGCTGAAGGGCCTGAAACACGCCAACATCGTCCTTCTGCATGACATCATTCACACGCGAGAGTCGCTCACCTTCGTCTTTGAGTATGTGGTAAGTTCGAGGCCTCACTTTGTCTATATTCAACTCCCCCAGTGATTTGGCCTGTAAGTCTCACACCACTTACACAAGCATTTACCTTGTTGACCTACTGTCTCTCAATTTCGCTTCTCCAGCAAACAGACCTAGCCCAGTACATGACTCAACACCCAGGGGGACTGCACTCCTACAATGTGAGGGTAAGGGTATATCATTGCCTGGACCTGTGACGTCACTTAAATACTGACCAATAGGGATCGTGGGTGTTTGCTTTAAATTATTATCATGATCTCTCACTTGAAGGACTGCTTAGGGTGTGAGAGATACCAGGCCAGTGTACTCCGGCTCAAATATCCAGCTTGTTAGATACACACATATGCACATATGTACACAGACTGCCAGGGTAGGATTCCTTTTAGGTAGACTTCCTGACTCCCCATCACCATACAAATTTATCATGTATGTATCTATCATGAAGCAGTTAAAACCTTGATATAACATGCAAGACTGTGTTAATAATTTATATTGACTGTGAGTGCTGGGGAGCAGGGGGTATACCCAGTGTTAGAGTGTCTGTGTGTGTGTGTGCGCTGTCAAGGCCTTCAGGATAGTTGGGCTTCTTACTGGGGCCAAAGTCAACATAGAAATAGTTGCAGGATGACTCTTAACACGAGAGTTGATTGGTAAGATCTGCTTACCTGGCCGCTGCTGAAGAACTGGACCCCCGGAGCAGCCTGATTCCATGTGCTTTCCTTCTAATGAACTCTGACAGGCAGCTCAAAGGAGCTGCAGATGCTCTCTGTCCGATTAGCCTGGGAAATGGGAAGCAGGTGTACATATCAAAGGTAAGCATCTGGAGGTTCTGAGGCAGGATTTAGACCATGAAATAAGATACGCTAAACCATCACCGGCTCATTGAAAGGTCACACTCATGGCACATGACTGGGGAGAATGTGTAATTTTACTTTATTTATCTTTTGCTCCAATCAATTGCTGCAATGAGCCTTAAAAGCCATATGTCTCTGCTCTTCTCCTAACACATTCTCACTTTCTTCTTGTACATCTTCATCCCTCTCCTTTTGCCAGATCTTCATGTTCCAGCTACTCCGAGGTCTCTCCTACATCCACGGGCGTAGGATCCTTCACCGTGACCTCAAACCTCAAAATCTGCTCATCAGCTATTTGGGAGAGTTGAAGCTTGCAGACTTCGGTAGGCTCTAGACAACCAGACCTATTACATTGACTGCAAGAGGCCTCAAGCTCATGTAGGCCAACAAATGGAGGCTTGCATTAACAATATAAAGGTCATGTGTTCAAATTCCAGGGAGCATCCATGAATTGTGACCCTTCCCTAAGGCACTTTGATAAAAGCATCAAGTAAATATAAAGACAGAAATTGTGGATGGCACTACAAGGGTGCAGTGTCCTTCATAAAGCCCCCAAAGATGACTTGGTCCCACAACTCCAAAAAATGTGAACATTTTGTTTTAATGTGTTTGGCAAGTGAACACCTCATCTTTTTGAACTAAATGTGAAACAGACAGAGCATAGAGGTTTTCAGAAATGAATGCAACATCTTCTCACATAACTCCAATATTTTATGGTCAATTCTCGAGACTCCAAACAAAGCCAGATATGTTTTTATTCCAATCTCTTCAGTACAGCCTTTTAAACCCCTGTCAGCAATTCACTCTCCAAATCAATGAAAAATAACAAGGCTGCTGCAGAGCAGAATTGAGGGAATCTTTGATCTTTTTGTCCTACTATACCTCTGTGATAATCCCAAAACCTGACTGTATCCATCAGGAGAAAGCTCTAAACAGCTGAGTGAGACTGAGTGAGACTTCAGTGTCAGATACCGTGCCCTTAGATTACACCATCAAGGCTGGCTCTTTAGCACAAGCTTTTTGGGTTAACTTTGGGTGAACGTGGGTCTTTAAGATCAATGTTTCTGGTTTCTAACATGCCTCCCTCCTTTTTTTCCCATTTGGAGTTATCAGACAATCAGACATCTCTGTAAACCATAAAATAAGTGGAGAAAACAGTTTACAGACAGATATATTGTGTGTTTATCCTTTGTAGTTTTGTGTTTGCCTTAAGCCGTGATCCCCTCTAGAGCTTAGACAAGGAAAGTGACATCACACCCAATCTGTGAAAGCAGTCAAGGGACTATAGGAACCACAGTCTCTCAGACATAGTCTCTGGTGTCAACTGATATGTTCTAGAAGTTCTAGTGTCAGGCTTCAGCTCAGAGTCATTCAGACCATCCCAGGGTCTGCTTCCTAACAGAAGTAACTCAATCTTTTCCAATGTCAATCTCCTTCAATGTTATTTAGCAGTCTGTTGATAGTATATTGGGCTGTTCCATTGTCCAGTTCCAACCTTAAAAGAGATGCTTATTCTCAGGTCTGGCCCGTTCCAAGTCCATTCCCAGCCAGACCTACTCCTCTGAAGTGGTGACACTGTGGTACAGACCCCCAGATGTTTTGATGGGCTCCACTGATTACTCCACAGCTCTGGACATCTGGTAAGGGACTGTCACCCTTAAGGGCCAGGGCTCAGCCTAGGCGACTCATCAACCTCATTGTTGAAAACCATCTCCAAACTGAAAAGTCTTACTAGCAATTGAGAACGTTAGGCCGCAAAGACTTTCACTTGTGAGCCTTTCCCACTGCCTTTCTCTGGTAAATTATGTTGCCTTTCTAATAAAAGTTTTATTTCTTTGGCTGGAGAAGACATCCCTTGAAGGATATCTAGTTAGCACACAACTTCACATTAAAAACAAATGTTTGGAAGTTGATAAGAAGGACAACTTTTCCATCAATAGTTGGCATAGCAGTGTAAACACACATATAAATAAATATGTTAAAATCAGCCTGCTTATTAATCATAGTGGGATGGTGTTTCTAACATAATGCCAAGCATTACTGAGATTTAAGACTGCACAAATCTGACATCTTGAAGTCTACAAACTCGGATTCCATGATGATGATGAAGATACAACAATGAATAGATATGTCATCTGATACACATTTATTTATTGATGATATTATGTTCAAAAGACCCAGTGTTTTTCCTCCTATGCTGTAACACAGACATACAATGTGAAGCATATTATGGTATAAGCAAAGTATTTAATAATTTGCTGGTCAATCCTGTCTTTAGTTTAGTTTAGTTTATATTTCATATAACACTGAACAGCCATGGAGAACATTTGTTTCTTAAATATTTCATCATCCTCATATGTCATTCCTATCTGCTGAGGTATGATGTTTTAACCTCTGGGATTTCTCTGCAAAACCCCAGCCCAACCTTCTTCTGGTGCTGCTTAAAAAGACATGCCTGCCAAAAAGTGAGAGCTAACGCCTGTAGTGTTGCATATGCAAATAAAACATAGACCAGCAATGTATTCTGTTTTATTGTAGGGGTGCTGGCTGCATTTTTATTGAGATGCTCCAGGGGGCACCAGCGTTCCCAGGGGTAGCAGATGCTTTTGAGCAGCTGCAGAAGATCTGGGCAGTGAGTATAAATCCTTCTGCTCTCCTGTTTGTGTCTTACTCACCCAAATATTTGATCAAATCACTGTGGAATCGCTACACAAATTGTGTAACACTGATAAGCACTGACTGAGTCATAGAGTAATTCTAACCGTAAGGAACAATAAAGTATACCTACTTACTAATAAAGTATTGGATTTATTGTATTCCCAAATAAGTCAAAGGTGAATCTTACAAAATCCAGTGATTTCATTATTTTTTATTATGTTTGGAACATGCACTAAATAATTGCACGTTTCTTTTTGCCAAGTAAATACATGTCATGTTTTATTTGTAGAATTTGCTCATTTTATCAGAGCGATTTTCCATGGATGTGAGGATTTGTAGTTCAGATAAATCTAAGAATCTGCAAAGCTGCAACCCCAAAGGTGATGTAAGCGGTCAACAGAAGCATCGCGCCAACTCTCTGTTTAAGTTGAACAAAAAAGTTATTTCATTTGGTTTTGTAGAGAATATGTTTCAGTAAATACAAAAAATATGATTTCTTAACATATCAATTTGTGAGTTTGTTATAATAGCAACTGTCAGTACAGTCAACTGTAGATTTGAGTCGTGCATGCACTGCCAATCTGAGTGGGCTGTGTTCAGCTATTAAATATTAAACTATTCAAGTCAAGGCCTTACCCATGGGTACCAAAAGGGGGGGGGAGGCCTTAATTATAATATATGTGGGAGGGACATTGTGAGAACATCTGAATTTTGGGGTGGATGTGCCCCCCCCCCATTATATATTAAAATTACAGCCTTGATTCAAGCAATAAAAGACTTCAGAGGTTCTGCCAAACCTGCGCCCTTAAGCTTAGGCTCATCTCATGTATTTGCATATATTTCCATAAAATGGCTGATTACCTTTCATTTCCTGTGTTGACACTAGCAAAGTCCTTCACAGGAACTGGGCTTATACGGTAGTTTTTGGTTGCTTTCGTCTTGGGCGTTCAAGACTGGCACATGCGAGACTCAGATGGACGGTTGACTCAAATCCCGTAGTGAGTGAAATATGTCTTTCGATGTTAACTGTTAGAGGCGTGTCGGTTTAATTTTTTTGAATTGGTCTTGCTCAGCTACTTCATGTTTTATGGTAGCTATGTTGTGTGATTTTGTGTTATATAGCCACCTGCTCATCAGAAAGGCAGGGCGTAGAGAGTAAGCGGGGAGGACCTATGTTTTGTTGACTGAAATTGATCACCAAGGAAAGTAATATTATGGTGTCATTTTGATACTTTTTCACATTTCTTTTTTGTATGTGAAGCATGTTGAATGATGATACCAGTTTTAACATATGGGAAAATGAGTTAAGGAATTAATTTTAACTTCAGTGGTTTTGGATGCACATCATGCAAAAAAATTTCCACACTCAACCTTTCTGCGACATTTCAGTATTTGAAGTCACTGTTTTGTTTTAGAATATATACAGAGCATGTGGTGGCTGAGTTTGCGGCTCTTTTTCTTTTTCTTAATTCCTTATCCTCAGGTGCTGGGCGTTCCAACAGAGGAAACCTGGCCTGGGGTCAGTGAGCTGCCCAATCACAAACCAGGTTAGAGTCCACCTAGTCTATCTCGTTTGTAGTCAAAATATATCAGGACTGGGTTCTAATATGCAACATGATAGGTGACTGTGAAGATTAGCCAGGCCAGTCCTCATTCTCGCCACCAGGGGGCAGCAAGGGACAGCAGGAAAATACTGCCCAATTGATGGTTTTGATACTGAAACAGCTGCCATGTGAAGAGTATAGATAGGAGGAGCAGTGAGTCTTTTGGGAAAGGGTGGAAGTGAAGTCTTAGTGTTAGCAGTTCAGGGTGCTGCTCCCAGCTAAACAAATAGTCTAGGGGCTATTCCATTACGAGAGCAGCGCGTTTGAAGGGATTTGTTTTTTCAAGTGGATATATTTAAGGATGTCAAAGAAGGAGCATAGTCAGGAACAGACATTCCCTCCCACTATTAAATTTGTTATAAACTAGAATAGATAATTGTAATAGCTTGTTCTTCCATCTGGATTCCTATACTCCCAGTTATTAACTTTTGTCATATGTCAGGAAAATCAGAACATTCAGTGACGGCTCTGAGTCTAGGTCGTTCCTTCTGGAATTGGCTGGCTTGAGATCTCTGGATTCCTTCAGCTTGTCAAAACCAACGTTATCAATATAATGCAGTCCATGGAATTGTGCCTGTGCGATTACAAATAATGAATATAGGATATTACAATATCTTTGCATAAAAAGCAGGGAATTATGGGTAAGCTCAAATATTCCTATATGCACCCTGACCTAAGTCATTAGCAACTATGAAACCATTAATTCATCTGCATACCACCTACTCATTCTGAGGCAATAGAGTCTCTGCCGTGATTTCTCTCATTAAAGCCTCCCCATCTTTTCAAATGCTCTGACTAATGCTGAAGTTTAGTAGAACTTGCCGATAATTATGATTACCTGAATTTATGTAATTAGTAGTGAGGGAGGTGTTCTGACTAATGAGAGAATAGAGAGTAATACTGATCTATTTATCCTGAAAGTATATTGGCCGGGTGTGATGTAGCTCTAATGCTGTCAAAATATAGCAAACAAGCTAATTACATAAATACAGAAATAAAGCATAAAAACTGGACAAAATATTCCCTGCAGCGATCATTCTATCTCCCCCAGGCACTCTCCCATTGACTGTGCTTTGTCAGTGTCTGTGTCTGCAAGATAATGTATTGAAAATATAAGCTCCATAATCACTATTGTTTTACCTACTTCTCAGATTATTCCAAAGAAAATGCTGCTTCATTTCCATGTATCCTCCCTTTGGGATTAATCATTAATTGATGCCCAGGTTAAAACTGCCTAGGCCTTCACGAGAAATCCATGCTTGTTTTGACAAATTAAATTTGATTTGAATCTAAAATAACTAAAATATAAGTCATTTGAAAACAATAAAAAAAAAAAAAACGATAATTTATTTATACTATATGTTCCATCAAAAATGGAACATTCCTAAAGGTCTGCATGCCCCAGCTCCCTATTGCTCTCTGAAGCTCGGACATCTTGCATAGAGTGCAGGGCAGCCTAATGATCCATGACGGCCAGCAGCCACGAATAAGGCAGGGCGGGCATCTTATGGAAATCCATTAACGTCGTACAGTCTGAGCTTGGTTACAGATACGTGCAAGGCCTGTGGTGAGTCGTGGTGATGCGTCTGCAGTGGTGTCCCGCACCCCTCGGCACGCCCCCTTTGCTGGCCGGGGGCCTCTGCGATGCCCCCTCCCACCCCTTCCACTGCCCCCTCACTGACATGGCGGCGGGCAGCAAGACCTGCCAGCCTTGGCACTGAAATATGTCAGCCTGTAATTCTACACAGCTGTACCCACCTTGTCTAATGCCAGTTCACACATCTGCTATCTCCCCACGGCTTTCTGCTCTTTTTAGGATCTAAATGCACATACACACACACATGCTCGCACACACACACACGCGCACACACACGCACATGTAGGGTATACATATCCTTATGGGGACCGCTCATTCATTTTAATTGGAAAAATGCTAACGCTAACTATGACAACCTTAATTAACCCCTACCCTGCCCTAACCACAATCATAAGTAACCTAACAAAATACAAGAGTTTTTGCATTTTTAGTTTTTTCATAGCAGTCACCGAGTTTTATAAAATAGAGGAAACCGGTCCCCATAAGGGAAAAAAAACGGATATTTATCACGTTATGGGGACATTATGTCCCCATAAGGATAGGTAAACCCGCTCACACACACACACGCACACACACACATGCACGCACACACACGCACACACACACGCACACACATGCATGCACACACACACGCACACACACACATGCACGCACACACACACACGCACATGCTTCCCATCTCACTAGCTGTACCATCATCTCTGGCAAATTAACAAAATCAGGTTGAGGAAAGAAAAAAAATGTCTGCAGCAACTCGGTTTACAATATAATGATTTCCTGCTGAAAAGAAATTAATCAAACTGTAATTGCACCCACAGAAAAAAATAAAATGCTGTCCAGCTGGCCAGCTTCCAATCATGACATGGCCTGTTCCAAAAGCGAGCAACTTTTTAGGCAGAGAGGCAAGCGAGCGGACATGGTGTGGACCAGGAGATGTAACCTCTGGTCAGAGTCACGTAGGAATTTCCTCTGTAGCCAGCTGACAGGCTAAGGAACCAGGGCTGAAACTGTGACTGAGGTCATGGCTCCATTTGAGCTGTACAAACAAGCCATGGTTTAAAACACCCGCCCATCATGTCTGGCTCTCTCACATCTTGTTGAAGATGCCATTTTTTATGGAGATTCTTCTTCTTTCTGGGTTTGGCCACTAGCAGCTTTTAATCATGACCATCTATCGCCATGTGACCTGCGCCTGCAATGTCATCTAGGAAAAATGAACCCGGTCATGGAATGAAGTCCATCGGGGAGGAGATGCTGCAATAGGGCCTGGCGTGTGTCAAGCAGCAGATACCTCAGACACAGATCCCACAGAAGGTCAGCGTGACTTTGGTACACACGCCCCTCATCCCGTAACTGGCCGAGCATCATCCTGAGATGGGATCGCAGAAGGGGGAGGGGGAGGGCCGGGAGGACACGCAGGCGTCGTTGTGGGGGGGATGCTGTGCTGGTTTTTTCCACATACAGCTGCAGTGTACAACATTCAGCAGCCAGTGAGCCAGTTCCCTGGAATTCTGTGTAATTCTGGATGGAGCATGGAGTACGCAGCTGAGGAGCAGAAATGAGCGTGCTGTCGTGCCCCTGGCAGGCAGGCACACCTAGAGACACGCGAGCTTGTGACACGCTGACGCGCAGCATCGACCACACGCGTGTGCGCAAACACATTCACGATGATGGATCGCGGTCCAGATGTTCCACACGCACTGGCTCCCAAAACCAGACACATGCAGCCCTTCGGAACAAAGCGAGTCTCTTTAGCCCTGGGGGATGCTGTTGCCAGACGGTGCCCCAGAATGAATACAGAGCGAGTAAATCCAAAGCCGTCGGGGCTTTGAAACATAGCTTTTGCCAGGTTGCTTACAGTCTCTGTAAAATGGCATTGAAGTTTAAGCATAAAAACAGATAAAGGCAGCAATAAAGACCATTAGGCATACAAATGAAATGGGGGGGGGGCAGTACAAAGAGGGAGAGCGAACAAATTAATTAGGCAGCAAGTGGAGTTTCACAACGACCAGGTAACAGGCCGAGTGTGGAGAAGAGGCCCAGGCAGAGGCCGATGCAGTGCGAGTGTTCATGTTACCCCACAGAGAAGGGTCTCTCACTCCTGTCCTCTCGGGAGGGGGGGGGCAGCTGCAGGCGCAGTGCGAGTGTTCATGTTACCCCACAGAGAAGGGTCTCTCACTCCTGTCCTCTCGGGAGGAGGGGGGGGCAGCAGCCACACTGGGAGGGCCAGACTGAGCAGCTTTCAGCAGCACACCAGGGTGGCCCAGGGAGGTACCGCAGTGGTGAGAGGCCGCGGGTTTTGAGGGGACGGCTGGGGGGCTGCGTGCGTCATCATGCCCCCCCCCCGCCCCCATGCCCACCGTTCGCAAGCCGCCTTAAAGGGTCTCACCTGAAGCTTTGATCCTAATGACTCGACACTGAGGACTAAAATAACTGCGAGGCGTGTGAAGGCCAGTGCAGCTGCTTATTAGCGGCGGCTGCTGACGTTTCTGTGCCGTGACGGGAAGCCATGTGAGCTCATCCGATCCCAGCAGATGGCTGCTTTTATCACAGACAAACCCATGTGACCCGAAATCTTTCACTTACGCCGCACTGCATTGTGACGGTTTTATTGTGACACGCAGTTTGTTGCAACAACTGGAAGAAGTCCATCAGGAGCCATGGCTCAGTACTCAGTACTCAGTACTCAGAAACATCTGCCTCCCACATCTGGGAGGACTGATTAGAGTTAAACCACAGCACCTCCTGGTAAGCCAGGAAATCGAAGCTCAGGTTACTGCGCCCACGTTCCCATAACAGCGTCTGATTAAGCATGCAGAAAAAACAGTAACGCACAGACATCACTGGCTGGACATTAGGGCAATGCAGTTACTCATAGTCACTGTGGTGAGAAGCAGCTAAATGCCACTTGAATAAGATGTTTGGATTTTTGTAAGAATAATTGATCTGTGAGTGAGTGAGTGAGTGAGAGTGAGCCAGCGAGTGAATGAGTGAGTGAATGAGAAAAAGTTTCTTAAGGGATGAAAAGAGGAGTCATTTAAAGGTTTAAGGATTACAGTATCGGCTCATTTGCTGTCTGCTTTATGGAGGCGTTTGCGTTGTGTCAGTCAGATATTGACCTTTGACATCCTTTTCCTCCTTCCCACAGAGTGGTTTCTCCCTTGTGAGCCGCAGCAGTTCCGGAATGTTTGGAAAAGGTATCGCTGAAGCAGCACGCTGGCAAATACGTCCCACACAGATAAAGCCTTTCACCCTGCAGGGTCTGTGCCGTGTGTGTGTGTTTAGTGAGACTGAATATATGTACATATCTGTGTGCATGATGAGGCAGCAAACTAATGGACGTAAGTGCAGATCCCATTACGGAACATGTCTTTCATTTAAGCAGTATTTGTCAAAAGGGTGTTTTTTGGGAGGTGTAAAGAGGAGCGGCTTTGTGAGCACTGTGGATATTTGTGTCCCCAGCACAGTGACATCCTGCTTCCATTCAGTGCCACAGGAAGAGAAATGCATTTGCTGAGTGCTTCAATTCACAGGCAGTCTTTCCCTGGTGATGGACTGGATCCTGCACAGTATATCAAATTGCATAGAAAATTATTATTATTATTATTATTATTGTTATTATTATTATTATTATTATTTTACAGACCCCCCCCCCCAACACACACACTGTTACACCATGATTTCTTCTCATTATACTCACACACACAGAGTACCAAAGACGGTGCGCACTGATTTACGAACAGTTGCCGGATCACCTTTATGTCAATAGGAATATAGTGCCACACATACATGAATTTACAGGAAAGCTGGGCAGCTACATCGGCCTATAGCAATGCAGGTGTAACACTACCCCAGTAATGACACATGTAAGCCACACTCGGCCAGAGCTCAGCTACAGAATAACAAACAGTGCGGGGGGGGGGGGGGGTACAACTCCCCAGCATGCCTGCTGAGCCCCCCCAGGTGCCCAAAGGGCGCTGACCGAGCAGGGTGGAAATTTACAGCAATGTCCTGTTACTGTAGACGGCTTTTTCCACTGGACAGGAGATCGGCTGGGAGGCAGAAAGGAGAAGCTCGTGGGACAGGGTGGGGAGACTGGAAAGGGGGCGGGGGGGGGCACAGGGGAGGGTGCGAGTACTGCTGCAGTTTGCTGATGTTCCTTTGGGCAGGTTTTCAACCAGAATTGCTCCTGTAAATACAAACAAACGGACAAAAACGTACAAGCACCCCTGTTAAAAATTTATTGACAAAAAGAGAAATGAAAAACAACCAGAGAAAATGCAGGTGGCAAATGATCAAACGTATGTATCAGGCGGCATAAGGCTGAGACCTGAGGGGTGAATGGAGAGTAACTGACATAACTAATGTCATGATGATCATTAAAGAATTCACCGTCATGCCTGTTTAAGGGACTATATGATTATAGAGTACAGGGCCACAGTACACGAAAATAATGCACCAAAACAAATTTACCATCCGATCATGAAGTACTATGTATGATTCTGCATATGTTTTTTAGGTCCATATTCTATCACCACAGAAAACTCCAGCTCAAAATGTAATACAAATTCTATCTTTGGTAGTCTTTTAATATCAGTTATGAATATGAAACTGTTAAAATATACATCTCCTATAAATAACTGAAGACAACTGCAGTCCACTTGGAGCTTATTCTTATTTTTTGACATGCAACTTTGTCAACAATATGCAAATATAAAAAAATACAGTACTATTCAAACGTAAGAAGCCCCTGACACTGTATGAGGCTGGAAGAACAATGGAGAGGTGGTTAAATGTGACGTGATTAAACGTGAGGTTCTGTGTTCTCACATTTGGCCATCGAGAGCCAGGCTGATGCTGAGAATTCTCCATTTTAAATAGACGTGCCACAGAAAACCTTTAAGAAGCTTCTCCTGTAGAGAAGAACAGGATATTATGCGTGCTCACATGTTCATTGTGGGAATTACATTCCCCTGAACAGGGAGGAATTGTTTCAGAAATAATGACAATGTGGCAGCACATTGGCTTGGTCAGTGAGAGCCGCGGCTCGGGCTGGTGGAGTCGTCCGGGTAGCCAGATGGCCGTCCTGCGCGGTGCTTGTGTGCTCATCAAAGGCCCTCTCTTCAGCTGGTCTCGTTCACATAGTGCTAGAAAGAGAGCAGAGCGATAGGAGAGAAAAGGCGAGCGAGAATGTGGGGGGGGCGGGGGGGGGGGCACGGTGGTGATGCGAGATCCACAGGGAGCTTGCATTTGGATTTTAATGCAATCCCATTTAACTTTGATTTAAAGGATTTTTTCATTTCTGTTTACCACCACGAATCTAATTAAAAAGACCCCCTACAGAGACACAATTTTAAAATAAACTAATTTGATAGAGGAGGCTTTTAAGACAAGCCAGGAAGTAAGCAGCAGAGACCGAGGGCATGTCGGAAGCCTAAATGCCGGTGGGATGCAGCGGATGGACACAGTAAACACTACCAGAGAGTCGTGGAGAGAGACTGGAACGACATTAGGCCCATTGTCAGTATGTTATGTTATTGTGGTATGATAAAGTGCTAAATTATACATTAATGAGAATCTCTAAGCTTCCGGTGGAGGCTTGTAACTGCATTAGCAATGGCCGTATCAAAGCAGCGCCCTCCGCAGCTGCATGTGGGCGGCGGGGTGGGGGCGGCTCCAGCAGGCAGCTGCCCGCTGATGGAATGCCGGGGGGGCAGCTGGCAGCGGCGTGTGGGGCAGGGCTGCGCTAACGTTCCCCGTGAGGCCGCCGCTACGTGGCTTTTTCACTGCCTCCCAGCACGAGGCTGACTAATTTCAGCCGTCACCTGCTTTAGGAAGCGCAAATAATTTGCTGATTGGGGCCATTTTCACTCAGGCACCTTCCTGTAGCCTGTGAATGCCACTGGGTGACATATTCTGTCGTCACGTCCATCCATCCATCTTCCAGGTGCATTTCTTGGACAGCATCATGGGTTCTGTCAAAGTAACGACTTAAAATACTTTTCCTTATGTAAAAGCTGGGCGAGGCTGCCCCCCCCCCCCACACACACCGGGAAGCAAGGCTGCATTGCTGTGTGCACTTTTCAGCATGCTCTGACTTGGTTTGTTTAGTCATTTAGGGAGACACCTTTCCTTCTGAAATGGTAACAACTTTATTCATTAGCATAATATTGTCAATCTATGTAGTTGATGGCTTCGAAGGTTCAGCTCTGTAGGTTTGAGTTGTGTCGGATCTCTGGCCTGTATGGCTGATGTATCTGTAGGAGCTGCTTGTGCTGTCTGTGAGGTTGCAGCCCTGCACACCCTGGTACTTACAGTACAGCTGTTGCATGTTTGTTGCAGTAACGCTGCCGGCTCTCCTCTCTCTGCAGACTGGGACAGCTGCCCTACAAGACGGAGGACCTGGCCCAGCTACTGCTAAGACCTGCCCCTCGAGACCGGATCCCTGCCCAAGATGCCTTGCTGCACCCCTACTTTAACACCCTGCCGCCGCCTCTGATGCACCTCAGAGACAGTATGTACTCGCAACCATACTTGAATATATGTCAGTACAGTACTCAACTGCACACTGCACAAACATGTACTTCATTAAGTATACTGCAGTAGAGAATACTACCTCATAACACAGGACAGCATTCTACATCAGCATGATTGATGCTTGATACATGCTTGAGCAATCTACATATCACACTACCGCATGGTACTTAAACCGGCAGAGTACTGTAGAGTACGGTTCAATATAATTTACAATTCTGCAGCACAGCATAACATATCATACAGTAGCAAACCTTAATAACTGTACAGGTAATTCATAAAATACTGCGAATGGCACAATAATTAGATATATTTTCTTTTAGTTGTGAAAATCAACATCCCAAGTAAACCACATTTATAAGGCATTTGTTAGTCAGGCACTGGAAAGCAGTTTACAAAGAGAAATATATTCTACTGTTACTGAGTTGTCTGTCAGTGTGACCTTTGGGGGAAGAATCACTCACACTCAGACCCCCCAGCCTCATTATCACAGGCAGATCGAGTTCAAAGGCTAAATGTGTGCAGGTTTTTTGGGGGGGGGGGGGATGCGAGCCCCTGTTTCAGGTGCTCTCTGAGCCACACGGCCTGTCACTGAGCACCACTAAGTCGATACCTGCAGTCAGAGCACCACTGGGAAGTGGCAAAACTGCAGGAGCGTCTGTTGCTGTTAACAATGTGGATGAAAACCCACCGATGCAGCCAAGGACCCTAACCCTGCTTTTGTAGAGAGACAGAGATGAGACGCCGGAAGCGATTTAACCCAGGCGGCGTGCAGCCCCACCTCCTTGGCAGACAGCAGAATTAAGATGTTAAAGGACCTTTTTGGGGGGGATGCCAGGCTCTAATGAGGACTCATTATCACAGTGGTGTGCAACAATCAGAGGGACCCACAGAAAGGCAGACCACCCTTTACCCTGCCTTTATCCCCCCCCCAGCTCTCACCCACTGCCAGAAAAGCTCCCCACTGTCAAACACATCTAAACCGGCAAAAAACAATGTGGTATTTCATTTATATAATGACCCGTGGATGTAATTTATTCACCAGTTTCATTAACGCAGTTGGAATCTCAGAGCCTCGAAAACCTTCGGAGAAGAAAGACAGCAACTGCACCCGATCATGGCATCGGGGGCGAGGCTGAGCTGCGAAAGCCCCCAGCGCACAGGAAGCACAACACGTACAAAGCGGGCTCCAGCAGGAAATGGCAGCCTGTATTATCCCTGCGTATCAGCATCGGCACAGTCATCGTCCACACACGCTCCAACGTCTGAAACATCTACCCATATTTACACGTGAAAAGCAATAGGAAACTATTTTAATTTGTCTTTCACTTTGGAAACAGAGAAAAAAATTAATGCATTGCTTAAAAAAATGCATTAGAAATATTGGAAAAGGCTTTCTTTGGCTTCAATGGATCTGCTCCCTTGACCGCTGATAGCCACCACAGGAGGGCGCTGCAACAGAAAGACTCAGAATGAGTGTCCTCTGATCGTGGCCAGATCCCCGTAGCTTTTGCTTTTCATCAGCTAAGTTAGCAGCAGGGTCACCTGCAAATAAATCAGACACTCCTGAATGTAGATATCTGGAGCGGGAGCATTCTTCCTTCTGGTGCAGCTTTTCAAATCATCCTTCTCACTGAAGCCAAATCCACCAGACAAGCCTCTAGAGGAGTGTCATTATGTCAAAGTGGCATCCGTCACCACGGCTTGAGGAGCCGCGGGTGTGATCCTGAAGGAAACATGGGATCGCGGTGCCCAGCCCCCCATTCCTCATGATCAGAGGCTTCCTTTCAAAGCCGCCTGCCTGCCTTAAAACACAGCACAGGTTTAATGGGCATCACCCTTGACCCTCTGCATCTCCATTTCTATTATCTCCTTCTCACAACCAGCGTTGAGACTTTGAAGGTTTCTCACAGAGTGAGGCATGTCTGAGACAGAGAGCGTTTTCCTTCGCGTGGCACCAGAATAGCTTTGAACGCTCTCCATGCCGGCTGCCCTGCCCTTAAAGGCCCTCTTCATAGCCTGGCTGCTGGGTGTTAGCCTGTTGCTAACCGCAGTGTCGATGTAACTGCTTCCTACGGAGAACAGAATGGCGCTTTGGCTGAGGTGCAGCGCTCACACCACACGGCACTCCGCTTTGGTCTGTACCTCCACACAGCTTCCAGACAAACCTTAATTACACACGGTTCAAAGTGCTCTTGCCCCAGCAGACTACTGTTGTTTTTTTTACTTTGTCTGGTGTGATGCTGTAACACTTTGAATTGGGCCACTGTAATGTTCCATGCATTTAAACATTCCTTACCCGGCCATTTATTTTGAGTTGCCGATTTTGTTTAGCCTTTTTTCGGAATAAGCTTCGCCTGCAGACTTCAAACATGGCGCTGCATTCCAGGACGCCTGGCTCTGTGTGTTATGTTTAGGGAGCAGAGAGCAGATAAAATCTTGCCACTTCCCTCCCTCCCGCTGTTTATCCCCAACGGGAACGTGAACGCATCGGCCCGCATAGCGTCTCGGCAAATCCCAGCTCCCCATGACCCAAGCCTCCCCGTCTCGGGGGGGGGGGGGAGCACGGTGGGTGGCCTAATTACATCATTGCTCCGGCTGCCTCAGTATGTATGTGGCCCAGTGGACCCAAGGGGCCCAGAACCGGCAGCAAACCCAGCCAGTGGCATGACACCCCCCACCCACGCTCTTTGGTCGAGCTCAGTGAGACGTGCCGTATCTAACATCCGTGTCTGTGCGCCTGTGTTCTGCAAATAACAAATTGCCTTCCTCTCCTTTTGCGCCCGTCTGCAGCAGTGTCCATCTTCAAGGTCCCTGGGGTTCGACTGGAGGCGGAGGCCAGGGATATCTTCAGTCCTGGCGGGAGGATAAAACCCTCTCACACCCCCCTCACCAAGTGCTGGTGATCAGCCTCTGGCATCTGTGTAGCCACCCAAAACCCCTGGACATCAGCCCTCGTGGGAAGGACCACAACACACACCTCACCAGCATTCAGCCCTGTTTGTGCTTATCCCTGCGCCTCCAACAAATATCCCATGTGTAAGAAGACCACATGGGCAGAAAGTGGCAGTGTGGTGCTGAGGCTGGGGGGGGTCCTTGTGGTCCCCCTTGCAGACATCCCACCTTAGTGATATCGATTTCAGGGAGGCAGATGAGGGGCATCCGGAAGGGTGGGGCTGCTAGCCAATGCTTGGCTGGTATTACAGTAGTACCAGGGGGGTCAAATTTGCTGACCGGGGCTAGAGAGTGGTGATAAAATTTGGGATGATGTTATTGCCGGATAATTTCACCACCAACGACTGATTTACTGGACATTGCACATCATTTGCGGGTGTCGGGGAGCAGTTGTCAATTTGCGGGAGAGTCTGGGACCTTCCGGAAGGTGTGGGATGTCTGCCCTTGCCCCAAAGCTGATGGCCCACCATTACACCGGAGAGATGTGAGCCAGTATAGGCAGGCTAAGATGTGCAAATTATCCAGGGGTAGCTTCCTGTTTCCAAAACGGTTCCTAAAATTTTTAGAACATCAGGCTTTAGCTGTGTGTCCATTTTAGTGTGTTTGAGAAAAGAAAGACAGATGATGAGTGGAGAGATTTTTAAATGTTATTTTGCAGTTTGTACAGCTCCATTGTAAAATGAAGCCATAAATAATATGATATGTGACAAATCTCTCGTATGACTCACACTGTGTTTTATTTTGCAAGATGTATAAAAAAAAATAATAGCTACATGAGTAATAAGAACAGTTGTATATTTATATATTGAGTTCTGTATATCCATATATAAGAAGTATTGAAATTATAATACATTGACCAACACTACATAAGTGAACCTAAGCTTCCCAAACGTTTGCTGATTCCTACATGGGGAGAACGGGCAGCCTTGGCTGTTACTGTGTTTCCTCCACGAGGCCAAATGGACTTTATGCTGGTGCTCATTGAGAAGAAAGTGCATGTGCAGCTAGCCATGGAAACCTTGTCATGAAGCTTTGCATCTTGGGCTACCACGCAACACAAAGGCCAATGGTAAAAGGCCTCTGGGACTGGTGTATGCTGGGATGGTGATGGCCTGTCTGTGTATAGTCAAACTATGTATTATTTTGAATGCTAATGGGACAATTATTGGCATTGTGGGAGGGGTTAAATCTTCCGGGCCTTCTAGAGACATTTTGAGCTGCCAATGGTCTGCCCTCCTCCGCCCCCCAATATGCACTCATGTATTTTCAATACAGTAATTGGTTCCATGCAACTTTCTGCATAGGATTGAATGTATAGGACTGGATTGGTCATGGCTAAACTGATCAACAATGACAAAATATCTTACAAACCAAAGGATTTTGTTTGGTGAATTACAAATCTTGTTCCTGTAATTTTGAAGGTGCCTGAGTTTAAGGGTTTTCCCCTATGAGCGCATGGACATCAGTTCACCAAAGTGACCAGCTGTTTCCAGGAGAGTAAACTGCCTTGGGCCATGGAAACCACAGGCCTTTTTGGTCTAGTGCAAAGTGCCATGGACATCTTAGCACAAATGGAGTATTTTAGGAAGCTGGAGAGAATCCCTCATGCAAAACCGAGGCACAGTATTCTACACAGACCAGAAGGCAGTTTAGGGTGGCTAACCGTCATTCGTATAATCAAAATATTCATTCCTTGAAAGCAGAAGACTCTCATAATGAGTAAGAAGCATACTTTGGTGTGTTTCAAAATTCAAAATGAATTATGACTAGCAATATGAATTACAGCAGTGTTAATAAGGATGTACATGTTTTTCTTTGTATCTTCATGTATTTAAATCGTTACAGTGCACTAAGACTGTAAAATGCCCTTTTGTGTGTGTGGGCATCAGGGCAGCCTAATGAGACCTGATTGTGTGTCGCTTTGAACCAATGTTGACTAATAAAAGAGTATAAATGATGGTGTTCTTTATAGACTTGGATTTTAACTTTTGCCACATGTGATGATGAAATCCTTTATTATTTTTACAATTTTACTTGGCTGTTTGTCTGAATAAGTGCCCCACATGTCCAAGCACACAAACAGTCAAACTGACAACAATTGGTAGAGATCACTGCCAAGAGATATTTTGAAAACAGACTGAGGCTGCCAAGAATCCTTTGACTGCTGCAGATTGATGTAACTCTTTATTAAATTAAGCTTTTAATGACACAAATGAATTAAATTGCATTTGACGCTGATCAGTTTTATTGTTTGAATAACATCCCACGCTTAACATTACAGAAGTGCACGGTAAGTGTTTACAAATGATCGACTCAAGCAAAAAACTAACTACATATGTACTTGGAATTTCTTGTTTCAATGCGATTTACAAATTCTTGGTCTTCAAAGTTTGTCAGTTGATGAAGCTTTGGCGAGCATCTTTAGCAGGTCCCGGGGTAATACTGAAGGCTCCTATTGCACAATGGTCCCCTTTCTTTCCGGTAGTGAGAACCTGCTGCAGAAACAGCTCCGGAAGAGCAGCTTCCACGTAAACAAAGAAGAAAGGGACAGCAGCACTCAGGTATCTCTAGTTTCTACAAAGTGCTCAGCCTATAGGACTTTGGGCCAACTGAAATGCTAATAGGATTATTAGCCAAATGGTTCTAGTTTAGAGAGATTAGAAATTTAGGAATGTACTTATCTAGGAGGGGTATGGCGCTGGTGTCGGGGGAGGGATCATTGATGTGTCTTTGTTTTGTTTTGTTCATCCCTGTTATCTCTTTCAGTAATCTTTGGCTGGATTAAATTACATTTTTTAACTCTCTAAGTCAGTCAATTGTGTTGTTGCAATATCACGGAGAGATAAAAAGGATTTGGCATGAATTTATCTTTCATGTAAACTCTAAAGCTTTTGTTTTTAATTTATAAGTAGCTTGTAATAAGAAATTCCTAAGGAAATATAAAAACATATATATTTAAAAAACACGAAGTTGAGAAAGACATCAAAGCTGCATGTGATCACATTGAAGCCTATTACTAATCCTCAGAAAATGCTAAATAAAATGCGGTAACTCTCTACTTGAGGGGGTACAAATAACTGTTGCTCATTTACTCCTCAAGAACAAATCATGAAATAATATAGTTCCTGCATGAAATACATGAACCCTTATGACTGATTAATGATGAACCAACATGGGATCAGTACATAACTGACACTTTGTTTCTGGTTAATTAATACATTAAGTAAGGGTGTAGTACTACATTATTCATGCCCCCTCAAGTAAAGTTACCTAAAATCTTAACAAATGCCACATACTCAAGGAAATGTTTACGTCTTTATGGGATTTATTTAGTTTGGTAACATGTACCTAGACTATTAAACAAAGTAAAGTTTTAAATGGCTTGAATGGCATCAGTTTAGTGGTGAGATAATCGCAGGTACACAGGCACACAGGCACACAGGTACACAGGTACACAGGCACACAGGTACAGGCACACAGGCACACAGGTACACAGGCACACAGACACACAGACACACAGACACACAGGCACATGGACGCGCCGGTTACCAGCCTGACTCTCTATCTGTGCCCAGCCCCTGGTGGGGAAGCCTGAGCTCGTCAGTCATTTTTAGCAGCCCAGAGCCCAGCTCCCCGGTATGGCAGTGCCCCCCCCCCATGGGCACAGTGACCAGTCCTTTGGAATTCCAGGGGAGGCTGAAATCTTCTTCTCCACATCGTATGGGGGCAGGGAGCCACACCCTCTGCAGGCTAGGGCAGCGAACCCCACCCTGAGTGAAAGTTGTACGTGGTGTGCCCGGGGGCTTGGAAGGGCTGTCCATGGCTGAAGTATCTAACCCTGCAGAGCTGACCGCCCCCCACCCCCCCACACACGCCCCTGAGAGGGCTCCATCAGTGGGGGAAGGGTGGTGGGTGAGATAGGATGGGGAGACACACTAATCAAAGATCATCCCTTTGCCCTGGGGGATGATCTAATCATTCTGTCAGGGTCTCCACTAGGAAGATGGAGTCCTTACTACACAATGGGCTGAAACTATACACTGCCTATGGTGGCTCATAGTCTGTGAACCTGAGTCCTGGTGACGAGCCTTACCCAGCTTCTCTTTGTCCATTTATGGAGTATATATTACAGCGCAGAAGGTACCCATAGCATTCTTTTTGTCTTTATGTCTTTTAAGGCACGGAGTCAATCAGTTTGTCACCTTTACAATCTTAGTAGCTGTAGTAGGCCTACTAATGCTGTCAGGATTCAGTAGGTGTTTTTTTCTGGGACAAATTCTCCTTTTCCACTCATTGTCACAGAATCATATGCCGCACATACTGAGCAAGAGTCAAACACCACTGGGTGGCGCTATAGGATATGCAAAATTTACAATGTTCATACAATAAACAGGCAAAAATAAAAATAAACAAATTTTCCTGTTAATACAGATGTATAGAACACGCTATATGGATTACCGACAGTTGTGTACTGTGTTGTTGATTAAGACCAAGCAGTGGTAAATATGAATGCTGTGGTGTGGCTGGTGTGATCTTCAGAGTCTCTGGGGTTTATCTGAAACAGCATGTCCATCATGCCTGTTATCTCCCAGCCTCTTTTGGGTTTCAATGACATAATACAAAACAGACAGACAAGAACAGATTAACAAGACGAGAATTTTTAAGTTTCCAAAAGTTTCACAGGACACACTGGTGACTCAATTAAGCACTACATTTCGAAGACTTTTCCAGATCAGATGGGGATTGGAACTGTTTCTTTAGAATTTCTGAAGAAATCCCCAATTAATATGAGCACAGGAAAATGCAGACAACCATCAATAAACAATAAAACACGCTTTTTAAATTTCTTTAGCTAACCTTTCTGGGTCTCATTTTCCACAGTATGACTTTCTGTTATATTTGTGAAGTTTTTAGGTTAATTAGACAGCTAGGCACAGTGAGTTGGTGTTATAAATTCTAATTTAATCTGATTCCTGCCTTCACTTTACTGTCACTGTTTCAGGATTTAAAAACCCCATGAATACTTCACCAAGGCACAGTGTGCTCTGTGTGACAACATAATTACAGATATTCTGACCGAAATGCCCTGATCTGCCTTTCAAACCAACTACTCACACGACTCCTGAACGGCACCACAAGCCTGCTTCTGTTTCTCCTTGGGCTGATCTGTCCTTGTCTGCTCGCTGGAGCCATTTTCATATTCATTGGCAGGGAGATGGAGAGTCTTTCCTACTTCTTAGGAGTTGGACTTCCAGCTCGTTTAAAATGGATCATCAGTAGCTCCTCTGTGAAAACTGCCAATGTAGCCACAGCGGAACAACCCCCCCCCACCCCAGCCCCACCCCAAAGTTTCTCCCCATAATTCCTCTTCTCAGCTCCCAAATGAAGGCTGCCCTGGGATTGTGCCTTGGCAGGCTGCCTCACATCAAGGCCTGCACACAACGTCGTTTGAAGGGATCTTTGCCGAGAGCTCATTGCCCGACGCAGCAACCCAGCCTGCCTACTCCATTAGGCTTACATACACGTCCAGCGTGCCTCTCGGGCAAGCTAAGCTGAGGCTGAAGCTGCCAGAGCGAGCGAGAAAAAGGCCCTGTGTGTACAGAGTCCAAATACACATGCGCACATCCGACCAGACGGGTGCCGCATATCTGACAGGACCTTAGGACACGTGTGATTAGCGCAAACCGCTAATGACGTCACCAGTGACATCGCCAAGACTTCAGAACTGTGCCTGACATTATGACTAGTTTTAGGGGGAGGAAAAGCCTAGATTTACATATGATCAGTATTGCAACGAGAAGCAAAATATCTACATATCTTACTTTGGTGTGATCGCGATTTCTCACTCTCTGCCCCAGTGTGGTTCAGCATCAGGTATTGTATATGTTACACACATCTTTTTCATTAATTAAATTATGACTGTTGTGTTTATTTATGTATATTGTGCCCGAGATTAATGGGATCTATTGTTCATTGTTTCCTCCTTTTACTCTGTCAAACTAACAAGCAAACAGACAAAGTCTTTTTGAAGGGAATACATTTTGGAACCCATCTGTTAAGTGTCTTCTCAATACACTTTCTTCCCCAACATTTACGTGGCATATTGCTAGAGGTGACAGGCAATAGGGCAAAGCCTGGTCTCTCACCCCCACCCAGCACCCCTCTGCAAATCAGCCCAGGTGTCCCTTACAGCACCTCTGCCCAAGAAAAACAAATTCACATTTGGCCTGTGTCTTGGTATCTGGTTGTAATACATCCCAATACCAAAAAGCTGCTTAGGTAAAAACACAACTAATAACAATCATTCATTCAGTCAATCAATCAATTAAAATACTATTATTACATGTTTAAAATCATTTAGTGTCAAGGGTTTATAAAAATGTGTCACGGTATGAGAAAGTATCGCAGGCAAACTCTATATTCTTCCAGCCCTGTCTCCTCCAATCAAATGACAAAAAAAAAAGAAATTTCCTGAAGTTGCACTTTGTGCAACAAGAAGAAGTGAACAGTAAAAATGTGTTTATCAGCTGATTGCTTTGTTGCAGGAAGTGGTATGAAAGAGACCTCCGGCTAAAACCGGCACAGGTCAGCTCTGCCAGCATCTCAGCCTGTTCTGATCAATCAGGACAGAGGACGTGCTAATGACACCCAGGGCTTGTGTAAGGACTCTCACGTGGGCGAGGTGACAAAAAGCAGAAGGCTAAAGGCACCAGGAGTAGGTGTGTAGGGAGGAAATACATTATTTACATCACTTGGTCAGCAGAAATCATTACCAAACATGACTTAGTGATCCTAGGTCACCTGTGTACACAGCTGGACACATGCAGATGTAACTGAAGCTCAGTATCTTTGGGAAGGCCGTTACATCTGTGTCCTTCCCAGAACCATCTCTGCCCCATAATTCTTCCCATTGACATCATCAAAGTTTTGCTACATTGTTACATTTGCCACATTGTT